GAGAGAGTATCCCTTCCTTCTACACCAGCTAAGTTTTGTTCTTCATTTTTATATTCAAGCCGTTGTGTAGAACTCTTGTTTGTGTTCTTCAAACACATCTTTATACGGTCGAGATTAGCCGTTAAATTCTCATATTTATCGGTCGAGGATAGCCGTTTAAATCCTTGGGTAAAGGTTCAAGGATAGCCTTTGAAATCCTTGGGGGAACGGTAGAAGATAGCCGTTAAATCTTCATTGTAAATGGTTCGAGATAGCCGTTGTAAAATCTCGGAGTGAATCCTATTGGCAAGGATTGTTTGCCAAACTAGTGCGGTGCTTTGACGGAGTTCAAGAGACCGGGACTTAGTGGATTCGGAAATCCTTGAGGAGGAGCCTCGAGGTACTGGAGTAGGGAGTTCCCGAACCAGTATAAAATCGCTGTGCATTTTATTTACGCTTTTATTTCTGCATTTTATATATTGCTTCCGCATTTGCCAACACCGTTTTTATTAAACTCCGAAAAGATTTTAAAACGCCTTATTCACCCCCCCCCCTCTAAGGCGTGGGCACAACGACTAAACTGATTAACAGCCGCTGGTTTGTCCGCCGGTCGATCCTCTCCCCCCTATAAATGGCAGCGACGTCCTCCCCTTTTCCCAAGCTTCTAAAAATCGGTTTTCCCCTTTTTGGGGCAAAAATATTCATTTTTTACTTCTAAAAATTGTACTAAATTTGAGTGAATTCAATTTCATCATCTTAAGTTAATTATCAAGTCTTTGAAGCACTAGTGTTGATCTGAAGATTTGTGCGATTTGTATTCCGTTCTTCAAGATCTGTAAGCTTTCTTGTATACTCTTATTTTATTAATAAAATTATCTTTTATTGCTTAGTTTAAATTTTGAACTAATGGCTTTTAGTGACAAAATTTATACTTAGGTATGAATTGAATTAAGGGTATGGGTTAATGATTAGTAATTAAAATTAAGTTAGTAACTTGATTAATTTGATTCAATCGTCTAAAATGAGATTCACTAATTAATAGATCTGGCCAATTTATTAATTAATCTTTGAAGATTATTTATCTAGCTTGTCTATGAGTTAAGAAAAATAATCTAGCCAACCATATTTAGACACATTAATGAGGCCTGAAAAATGGATAAGTTAATGATATAAAATCAAATTAATTAAGAAGTTAATTTAATCCCAAAATTATTATCTTAACCCATATACCTGTTCGATTCGTACCTATTTCTAAATTATTGATTGTGTGTTATGTCCGCGTTCCGATCTTAACTCCTCAAGTTATTTTATCATTTATTTTAGACGTTTTATTTTTTATTATTTCACGTTTCTTAGACTATAAATTTACCTGTGATAAATAATAAAACTAATTATTCCCTTCGTCACTCCTGGAGAGAACGACCCGAGTCTAACTCGGTTATTTGTTGACTTACCGCTATACGCAGTTCGTCAAATGGCGCCGTTGCCGGGGAGTGGCACAGTTTAGTTAGTTTTTCTATTTTCATAGGAAAATTTTTAGTTTACTCGATTTATTTGTTTTTTTCCTTATTTACATTTTTATGAGTCATTTTAATAATTTTTATAATTCTCATTCTAATGATTACCCGCCATACCCATATTGTGAAAATAATTTTTCTAATGATTATAACGAAAATTACCATTATGAAAATAGTTTTTATGAAAATCCACCCATGATTGAAAATGATTATCAATTTAATGGTAATAGGTGGAATAATTAGGATAATGGTAATTTTGCTTGTTCACAAGATAATTTTAGTAATGATCAAGATTTTGAAAATAATTGGCATTACAATTCTCTTATGAATAATAATTATTTTGATGATTATGATCATGGGAGAAATTTTAATAATTTTGATCATTTACCAAATTATCGAAATAATTATTGTGATTTTTATGACAATCAAAATTATTGTAATAATCTCTCTAGATTCTTCGATGAAAATAATTATGAGCAGGAGGAGAATTACAATAACTTTGATTATCAAGAAAATTATTCCTCTCCTTATTCCTCACTTTGCCCTATTAATAATTTTGATGCGATTAGTAATGAATTAAAATCGATAAAAAATGACATGGATCGCATTATAAGAAATTTAATTGGGCAAATAGAATTAAAAAGATATACTAACCTTGATTTTGATGAATTTCATAAGAAGAAGGGTTTAGTAAATGAAGAAGGTGATCTTTGCTATACTTTTCCTTATTCTTCTCTAAATTCTGATTCTAATCTTGAGATTTTCAATAACGAAAAAGAAGAAATTCTTAAGGAAATTGGCAATCTCTATGAAATATTAGAATTCAAACCTAATGAACCTAATAAAATTCATCAAAATGAATGGTTAGCTAATGAATTTGAGGATGAGGAAATTGATATGGATAAAATTGTTGAATCAAACATAGCGCAAGAAAGAACACCTTCTTTAGGCCAACCATCTCAAGATGAGGAATTTGATGAAAATAAATATTATCTCGAACAAGAAAATCTTTGGGCTAATTTTGAAGATGAATATCAAGAAACATTAAAAAACTTGCTTGATAAGGGTATTCTTGTTCGAGTAAATAATGAAAATCACAATAATGGGTTGGAGGGAGTAATGCCTGAGGAAAACTTTAATGCTTCTCCATTAGGTATAGAAGAGAAAAGAGATGATCAAGGACTTGTTTGTTCGTCTCTCAATGAGGGAAATTGAGAACGTAAAAGTGAACTTAAGGTAGAATTTTTACAAAAGTCCGAGGGCATTGATCATTTAGGGGGCTCTGTTGAATTTGACCAGAATGTATATCTTGAAGAGAGTCCCTTAGAAAAACTCATTCAAAGAGACCTTGACTCACTGAAGAATTTTCCACAAAAAGAGGGTCTCTTTGAACCACTTTTCGTGAAGTCGAGCATCCCCAAAGCTTTACCTTTATCAGAATATCTTTTATGCTTGGGGGTGATCAGTTCTTTTTATAGAATTTTCACTATTCCTTGGCTTCACGAATATTTAGGTCTGCGCCACCTTACGGCGATTATTCGGAAAAAGTTGGAGACTCTCGAGGAGAGTGCTCCGTTAGATATGTTTGTTTTACCAAGTTTAAGAATAATGGCGTCAAGCTAATGACGTTAAATTAGCGCTTAACGGGAGGCAATCCGTCATAATAATAATAATAATAATAATAATAATAATAATAATAATAATAATAATAATAATAATAATAATAATAATAATAATAATAATAATAATAATAATAATAATAATAATAATAATAATAATAATAATAATAATAATAATAATAATAATAATAATAATAATAATAATAATAATAATAATAATAATAATAAAA